AAAGAAGAGGCAGCTTTGCTTTAAAAGAAGGGTGAAATGGTAAGAGAAACAGTAGTCATTGGTTATATGGAATATGTGCTACTCTGCTACAGTGACAGAGAAGATCCAAGAATGTGATAGTTTCAAGGCATCATGGTTGATCAGCAGTTATCAAAATCCCAGCTGAAATAAACTATTTTTTTTGGAAAAAGGTAATACTAAAATTCTGCTATGTGCCAAGTAATATGCCAAAAAATATCCTTTTACAAATGTTAATTTCATTTAATTCTCAAAATATCCTTGCAAAGTAGTTGTTTTTATGCTACCAGTTTTACAGTCGAAGGATTTGAAGTTCAAAAAATCCAAGGTCAACTTATCAAAAATTGATACGTTTTCTGAGCACCTCCCTTCTGACCCCTGTCCTTCTGCTAAGTGCCCATCCTATATGCTGCTATTGTACCCTGAGCTTATCTTTTTTTTTATTTAAGATATTATTTATTTAAGGGAGAGAGAGAGTGAGCGAGAGAGAGCACAAGCCAGGGGGGAGAGGCAGAGGGAGAAGCAGACTCCCCACTGAGCAGGGAGCCCAATGCAGGACTCAATCCTGGGACTCCAGGATCATGACCTGAGCCAAAGGCAGATGCTTAGCCGACTGAGCCACCCAGGCACCGCACCATGAACATATCTTTATCTTAACACTCATCTTATTCAAATGACATTATGTTTATTTATCTATCTCCCCCATTGGACAGCTCCTCAAGGGTTGGAACAATGTCTTATTCTCCAGTAGGAAAATAGGCCTTGAACATACAAAATTCTCAATAAATAATATGCTGGACTACAAATCTGAGCTCAGAATTCAAGCCCAAATCTGTCTTGTTCATCATTATAGGCACATATCCAGATATCCAGATAATCGCTGCTTTAAGGAAGCTTTGGGGAGGAAAAATAAGCCATTTCTGTAAACTTCAGCAGATTTGATTTTTTATATTGAGAAAAGCTGATGTTTGGGGAACTCTTCCTACCAACCAAAAACGGAAGAAAAGAGTAGCCTGAAAAATTAAAGCTGACACATACATCAGAGGAAAGATATCAAGAATGTTGTTTGCTTTATTTCCAGGGGCCTTATGGGTGTGCATCATTTTAAATCCACATTGCAAACTGGAGGAAAAGTCCTGTTGGCTGCAGCAACTGCAGAAGTGGAGTGACCTGGATATCTGTCCCCTGGAGGATGGGAACTATGGGCACGAGCTGCCCAACATCACCAATGCACTTCCCCAGAATGCCAGTCACAGCCCAGGTGAGCAATATATCCTTCTAGGGTCTTTGTGCCTGGAACTCCAAAAGGTGGGAGGGTGAAACTCTATAGAACAAAGGTGGCCAGATTGTTGGCTATCAATATTGTCATCCTCAGTATGAAAAGCCTATCCTTTTGTTTATCTTGAATTGCCACGCCTTAAATAAGGGTAAGTTTTTATCTTTGACATTGAGGATGCTGTGTCTTTTTCCATATCTTGAGTGTCCTTAGAGTGCCCACCATAAATTCCTAGAGCCTTCTGCATGAATCCTCTTTACCTTTCAAGTTCTTCATGACTAATGGATTTTGGCCTCAGTTGGGGTTGGTTTTAGCTTAGAAGGCCTGCCTCAAGGGGAGGATGGAAGGCCAGCGAAAAAAACAGCATTTATTTATTTACTTATTTATTTGTTTTTAAAAACAGCTTTTAAAAATGCCCTGACAATTGCTTTTCTTACTTTTCTCTGTTTTCCTCAAATTTTTTATACAGCAGATAGCTAGGTTGGATTACCTTCCCAAATTACTGCTAGGACTCTTGCCCCATTTTCAGATGAATCTAGTACAGTGATACTGTACCCTCTGCCTTTTGAGCCCCTGGCCTGCCGCTATCACGGAACATCAGCATTCACGTCAGTTTTAATTCATCTAACTCAGGCTGTTTCCTGTTGGCAACTGATTTCCCTTTAGCCCATTGGGAACCTGTATTGGTAGATTTTTTTTCAGACATTGATTTTACATGTGGTCCCTTCTATTTTAAGTGATAAATCTGGTATTTTTAATCTCGAGAAAATAATTTAAATTATTGTTCTGGCCAGGTCTTCATCTACTGTACCATAACTGATTGTCAGTATATTTAAAGCAACTAAGGTAACAAGAGTTTGAAAAGGCTACCGTTTTGCCTTTTCTTTAAGCTACCCTTTACTGGCACTCATCTAACCTCCGCAACACAGCATCCCTTTAGTATTGGTTTTGGATTGGCGTAGAGAGTCAAATGCATATAGAGACATGCCTCCAGTCTGGCAGTTTCTTCTTTATCATAGTGGTTACTTGTTGTTACTGGTTCTCATTTGAGGATGTTGCTTCTTCTGCAGTCTTCTCAAGTTGTGGCTGATTTAGCTCTCACGTCTCTATACCTAATGGAGCAATAGGCATCCCACTTGTTCTTCATTGCCATTTCTATATCATTGTCCTTTCCTCCTTCCTAAAATACTCCCTAGCTTTAATGTTCATGCTGTCAAAATATACTGTCTGCTACCCTTCTGGTTTTGGTTATTTGTAGACCTCTGGGTCAATCCTCCTTATTCCTTGAAGATTTTTGGCTGTTGGCTCGGTAACACTGCTTTCTGTCACTGCTTCTATCATAATTCTTGACAATTTCAGTAGCCACACAGATGATCCTTCCAATATCCTAGCCTCTCAGTTCTTTGACTTCCTCTCTTTTAATAGTCTCATCTTCCCACATAATTGAGCCATTCAATCCCAAGATCATACCCTAAACCTTGTGATTGCCATTAACTATACCTTCTTCATAATCTCAATTTCAGGCAGCTCTAAATACCATCATCGGTCTTGCTAACTTATTTTCTCTAGTATCCCAATTCCAATAATTCTTTGACCCAGTAGGACTTTTGATCCTACCACCTTTTCATTCTCCTGGTAGCCTCATTTTCCTCCTTATCTTCATTAGATTCCTTGGTGAGTCATTATAATCACTCCCTCACATACACACTCAACCTCCTCTTCTTTCCCTTTACTTCACGCAGATAGCAAAACACTAACCTTAGTAGTTAAGTCTCACTCTCTAATTCCTCAGTGCTCATGCCCACACAGCTGAACGTGGTGAAAAGAAACACAAGCATGATAACTGGTCTTAGTTTAAGTTTATGACCACTGATTTCAAATGGGTCCATAGTATTGTCCAGACATCCACCACATTTCCCTAATCTATGCTTTCTTTCACTCTTCTAAATTACTGTTTCATATGTCTTTCCCTGAAAACTTTATTTCCTCCCCTTCCTCCCTTTCAGTTGATAATCCTGCTTCCTATTCACTGAGAATATAGAAGCAATCACAAGAGAATTTCCAAGACTCTCTCACTATATCTGCCTCTGTCTGTGCCCATCTAGTCTTCCTCTTCCCCTGTTTTTTTTGTTTTGTTTTGTTTTTTAAAGATTTTATTTATTTATTTGAGAATGAGAGAGAGCACATGAGAGGGGGGAGGGTCAGAGGGAGAAGCAGATTCCCCGCCGAGCAGGGAGCCCGATGCAGGACTCGATCCAGGGACTCCAGGATCATGACCTGAGCCGAAGGCAGTCGCTTAACCAACTGAGCCACCCAGGCGCCCCCTCTTCCCCTGTTTTTATTTGTGCTTCTAACCCCGAGCCCTCTACCTATTCTCAAGATCCTTTTCCTTTTCTTTTATCCAGGACATCACTCCAGGAATTATCTTCTCTCTCTCCTGCTTCACAAATTTTGTGGATTAGTCCTGAGTATACAAGTATATTGCTTTCTCTCTCATCACAAAACAAAACGAAACACCCTCATGTTGTTCCCATATGCCTCTCTGGCTACCACACTGTTTCCCTGAGGTAGTAGAAATAATTGGTAGAATTAAGAAAAATAATTTAGGGGCACCTGGGTGGCTCAGTTGTTAAGCGTCTGCCTTCGGCTCAGGTCATGATCCCAGGGTCCTGGGATCAAGCTCCGCATCGGGCTCCCTGCTCCGCGGGAAGTCTGCTTCTCCCTCTCCTACTCCCCCTGCTTGTGTTCCCTCTCTTGCTGTGTCTCTCTCTGTCAAATAAATAAATAAAATCTTTTTTTAAAAATTAAAAATTAAAAAAAGACAAATAATTTAAAAGAATAGTACATATTTATCATCTCTACTTCTGCTCATATTCTCCATTGAACTCACTCTGGTCAGCTTTCATCCCTCCACTATTGAAACTGCTCTTGTATGGGTCACTGATGCTAAACATGGCCAAATCTAGTGGCTGATTCTCAGTCATAATCTTACTTGACCTATCAGCAGTATTTGTTACAATTGTTTACTTTCTCCTTGAAACACCTTTTTCATGTTATTTCCAAGACACTACTCTCTTGGTTCTGCTCTTACTTCATTGGTTCCTCCTTCTCAGCCTCTTTTACTGTCTCCTCCCTACTTCCTAACCTAAAATATTAGAGTGCCTAGGGCTCAGTCATCAAACCACTTCTCTCTGTATACATACTCCCTTAGTGATGGCCTTATTTTGATAATCATCTGTATACTAACTACTCCCAAATTTATATCCCTTGACCAGACTTTAACTCCCAATTCCGGACTTGTATACTCAACTGCCTTTTCAATATCTCCACTTAGATTTCTTATGTCTCAAGCCCCACCTAAACCTGCTCCTCCTATAGTCTCCCTATCTCCAGTATGGCAAGTCTGTCTTAAAAACCATGGAGTCATTCTTGATTCTTTTTCTCTCTCACTCAAGATCTAAACCATGAGCAAATCCTATTGGTTTTACCTTCAGAATATATCCAGAATCCATATATTTTTTCTTTTTTTCTGATTTTTATATAAATTCTACTTAGCTAACATTCAGTGCAATATTGGTTTCAGGAGTAGAATTCAGTGATTTATCACGTACATACAACACCCAGTGCTCATCCCAACAAGTGCCTTCCTTAATGCCCATCACTCTTCTAGCCCATCCCCCACCCACCTCCCTCCATCACCCCTCAGTTTGTTCTCTATCATTAAGAGTATCTTATGGTTTGTTTCCCTCGCTCTTCTTACTTTTCTTCCCCGCCTCCTATATGTTCATCTGTTTTGTTTCTTAAATTCCACATATGAGTGAAATCAGATGGTATTTGTCTTTCTCTGACTAATTTATTTCACCTAACATAATATACTCTGGCCCCATCCAGATCATTGCCAATGGCAAGATTTCGTTCTTTTTGATGGCTGAGTAATATTCCATTTGTGTGTGTGTGTGTGTGTGTGTGTGTGGCACATCTTCTTTATCCATTCATCAGTTGATGGACATTTGGGCTCTCTCCATAGTTTGGCTATTGTTGATAGTGCTGCTATATATAAACATTGGGGTGCATATACCCCTTCGTATCTGTATTTTTGTATCCTTTGGGAAAATACCTAGTAATGCAATTACTGGGTCATAGGGTAGTTCTATTTTTAACTTTCTGAGGAACCTCCAAAGTGTTCTCCAGAGTGGCTTCACCAGTTTGCATTCCCACCAACAGTGCAAGAGGATTCCCCTTTCTCTGCATCCTTGCCAACACCTGTTGTTTCTTATGTTATTACTTTTAGCCATTTTGACAAGTATGAGATGGTATCTCATTGTGGTTTTGATTTGTATTTCCCTGATGATGAGTGATGTTGAGCATTTTTTCATGTGTCTTTTAGCCATCTGAATGTCTTCTTTGGAAAAGTGTCTGTTCATGTCTTCTGTCCAACAGAATCCATATATTCTTATCACCTCTACTGCCATCATTTTTCACAAATTATTGCAGTGACTTCCCAACTGCCCCTCCTGCTTCTGCCCTTCCACCTCATGGTCTGTACTCAATACTGCTGCCAGTTATCTTTTTAAAAAGCAGGTCACATCATATACCTTCAACAATTCAAAGCCCTCCGGTGGCTTCTCATCGTTCACTCATGGCCTGTAAGGTCCTCAATGATCTGGCTTCCTAGTATCTCTCTGACCTCATCTCCTATGATTTTTTCTACTTGCTCATTCCATTCTAAGTATACTGGCCTCCTCACTACCCTCAAACACTCCAAATATGTACCCACCTCAGGATTTTAGCATCTGCTATTTCTTTTGCCTGGAATGCTCTTCCCTTAGTTATCTCTAAGGCTTGAAGTTTCTGTTCAAATGTTATCTTATTAGATACCATTCTATATAAAACAACAACCCCCACCCAACACCAGCTTACCTTTCTCCCTAATTTTGCTTTAGTCTTTTCTATAGCACTCATAACCATCTGAAATATCTGGTATACTGTATATTTATTCAACTGTCTCTGCCCATTTAAATGTAAAGTTCCATGAAGGCAGGGATTTTATATATCCTCAGCACCTAGAACAATGTGTAGGCCATGTGTAGGCAGGTACTCATTATTTGCAGACTTGATGTATATTGGGAGCCTAATCCCCACTGTGGGCTGAGCAGACCCAAGGTAGAGTCTCAGTTCAGCAAGAGAGGGGTTTAGACTGTAGCCAGTAGGAGGTACGTTGTGCTTCCACTGAGGGACAACATGAGGGAGAAATTTCAGTAGATACTGTCATGCTATTCTAAGTTAACCTCTAAGCCCATACTCTATGTAATATATCAAATTCTGAAGAGATTAACATATTCTAAGGACTTTTGCTTAATGAATGAATATGTTCATTTCTTTCATGTTCATTCTGAATCCCCTGGCTTTCCCTTCCAGTTTTTTTTGCACAGGCTCAGTGGATGTACACCTCATTTGGGCATCTCTGTATAGTACTTTAGTCCTTGATCCCAAAATAGTTCCAGTTGCCCTTAATCTGGCAGTGAGTCAATTAAATAATCCTTTGTGGTTTTTTTATTTCCTTAAATGTAATTTCCGTGAGTCCTTCTGTCTCTACAGTTTATGATGATGTGTCTTTCATTTGGTCTTCCTCCACACCACCCACACCACCTTGAGCCTACTTTGTCTAAACTGTTTTGGTTTCCTTGCAGACCTTTTCCTGAAGAGAGATGGGATGGTAAGAGTCCATGTTAATTTAATTAGTCTTTTGTCAGCAGCAGTTTTTCATATTAGAGAACAAGACTGTAAACCTATAGATATCAATGTGATAAAGGGACCAGAATACACAGGGCATCTGCTCTTTTTCAGCTTTTAATATCAATTACATGGAGTCCTTAGTCTTATAAGGGTCATGCTGTAAATGAGACAGGTTATGGATTGGCCAGGGAAATTACCCAGCTGCTTCTCTCTTCCTCTGACTTCTGTAGAAGCAGTTGGTATCCTCATAATTGAGCAGCTGAGCACCACTGTCCCTCTTCTTTTTCATGTGGCGCTCAGTCCTAGGAGAAATTGGTCTTCTGTAAAGTGGAAAGGCAGCCATAGGTCTCTGTAGAAAGGTTCTTCCCATAGAGGTCACAGACACATTAAGTGCTTATCCAATAAAGAGGCAGCACAACAAGCACCCAGACAGATGGCAGAGTGGCTGCTCTCACTAACCACATACTGTTCTTCTCATCCTCCCACTCTGAAGAAGACATAAGAGTTAGAGCTTCAGATTACCTGTCATTGAACTGCTGCATGTCTTTCTTTTCCCAGACTCCTTATCCAGGCCAAGACGAACAGTGTTCACTAGAGCCATCGAGGGCCGTGAATTACATTGGCAGGACAGCCACTTACAGCGAATAATAAGCAGCGATATATATACAGCTCCTGCCTGCCAGCAGGAAAGTGAGAGACTACTGTTTAATTCCCAAGGCCAGCCACTGTGGCTTGGTAAGTGTAACTCTCCTCTCCTCTAAGAATTTCAGAGCGCAGTCTTACCTTGCGCCAGACCAGAACTGCATAGGCGCTGGCAACACAACTACAATTTGCACAGATCTTTTGGGGCCTTAACTAGGGACTCAGGGTATTTATGTGAAGCCTCAGCCATTTGCTGTGTACTTAGCTGAGGTATAATGACCTCAACCAGAGGAATTTGTATTGTTTCCTGAGCTTTAGGAGGGGAAAGGAGTTAATAAATCTCAAAGAGTACTAATAAAACTATTAAACATCAGTTCATAGGCTCTTAGCAGTTGCTGAGCAACACTATAATCTACTCTGAAATATATTTTGCTAAAAAGGCACTAACTTTGAAACTTAAATTACCCTGTGCTAGTAGCTAGGGCACTATCTGCATTTGTCACCAAGCTGTCTTCCTTTCCTCCTCTCTACCTTCCCTTCCTTCCTTCATCATAAAGGAGCAGAGCTGTTCCATTGTGGATTTAAACCTTCCTCTGGCTGTCTTTCAGTCTCTTCTTGACTTTATCACAGGATCCCTATTCCAAAAGACACTTTTAAAAAATACTCCTTTTCTGAGTCTTACAACAAATACATTTTTATATCTTCTCCCAATTCCCTACCTCCATCCTTCACCCCGTTTCTTTGTCTTTCTCAAGATCTTGCTGAATATGCAGGGGCATCTGGGTGGCTCAGTTGGTTCAGCATCTGCCTTCAGCTCAGGTCATGATCCTGGGGTCCTGGGATCGAGCCCTGAATCAGGCTCCCTCCTCGGTGGGGAGACTGCTTCTCCCACTCCTGCTCTCCCTGCTTGTGCTCTTGCATGCTGTCTCTCTGTGTCAAATAAATAAATAAAATCTTAAAAAAAAAAAAAGATCTTGCTGAATATGTGTATGTCCCTATCTCTCTCTTAAAAGCCTTGGCCAAACTCACTGTGGGCCACTACCTGAAGTCTCCTTTGGTCATCTTTCTTCTTCTCTGATCCAACACATCTAAAACATCAATCTAACAAGTGTGTGAAAATATATATATACCTCATCAGTAAACAAAGGTGAAAATCACAACAACACTGAATTACCATTTTTTGATTGTCAAATGGTCAGAAATTTTTAAAGTAAAGATAATTAGTTTATGGTGTGGGAAAGGTTACATGGAGATACTCTCATTTACTACTGGTAGGAATGTAAGTGCTTATAGCCTATCTGAAGAGTATTTCAATAATACTTATCAAAAGCTGTTAAAATACATTCATACCCATTGATCCAGGAATTCTCCATCTAGGAATTTATCCTGAGCTATAATTAACTAAGAATATGTGTAAAGCTAGGGGCTTTATTAGAGCATGGATGTAAATAATGTACAGTTTAGAAAAATTGGAAATAATCTAAATGTCCAACAATAGGGGATTGAGTGACTCAATGGATAATATACATATTTATTCAGAGGAATGATATATCATCATCTTTAATGTTATAGAAGTATATTTAATGATATAGAAGAATTTTACAATATGTTAGAGGAAAAACCCAGTTACAAAATAATAATTATAATATTGTCCCATGGGGGCACTGGGTGGCTCAACTGGTTAAGCGTCTGACTTTTGATTTCGGCTCAGGTCATGATCTCAAGGTCGTAAAATGGAGCCCCACTTTGAGCTCCATGCTCAGAGGGGAGTCGGCTTCCTTCCATCTCTCTCTCTCTCTCCCCCCCCTTTCTGACCCCTCCCCCGCTCATGCTCTCGCTCTCTAAAATAAATAAATCTTTAAGAAATAATAATAATCATATCATTCCATGTGATATATATATATACACAATCACAATATATATACATACACATACTTATGCATACATACACACAAAACTAGAAATAATGATTATCTGGTTTTTATTTTATATTTTGCTTATCTGTATTTTCAGATTTTCTGCATTTATTTCTGACTTTTAATATTATCTTTAAAATAAATCACAAAATGGGGGCACCTGGGTGGCTCAGTTGGTTAAGCATCCAGCTCTTGATCTCAGCTCAGCTCTTGATCTCGGGGTCATGAGTTAGAGCCCTGCATTGAGTTCTATGCTGGGCAGGGAGCCTATTTAAATTAAAAAAAAAAAATCACAAAATGAACCATTAATTTCATTATAATCACTTGCCCATATATAAGCCTTTTATGGTCCTCCATTATCCTTAAGTTAAATCTAGTCTCCTTAGTATGGCCTCCCAGACTCTACATTTCCAGGCAGTCTCTGATCACATAACTCTGCACAGAACTATCTGTTATACTCAGAAGATGCTTTATAGAATACTTTTTATGTTTTTATTTATATGCCTTTGCTTATATGTTTTTTGCTAGGAATCCCCTTCCCTTTTTGTCTACCTATTTAAAATCTTGCTAGTTCTACAAAGTGCAGCTCAAATATTATATTCTCTCTATATATATTTTTTAATTTTTTTTATTAACATATAATGTATTATTTGTTTCAGGGGTACAGGTCTGTGATTCATCAGTCTTCACAGTTCACAGTGCTCACCATAGCACATACCCTCCCCAATGTCCATCACCCCGCCACCCCATCCCTCCTACCCCCCTCTACTCCAGCAACCCTCAGTTTGTTTCCTGAGATTAAGAGTCTCTTACGGTTTGTCTCCCTCTCTGGTTTCGTCTTGTTTCATTTTCCTTCCCTTCCCCTATGACCCTCCGTCTTGTTTCTCAAATTCCTTGTATCAGTGAGATCATATGATACTTGTCTTTCTCTGATTGACTTACTCCGCTTAGCATAATACCCTCTAGTTCCATCCACATCGTTGCAAATGGCAAGATTTCCTTTTTTTTTTTTGATGGCTGCATAATATTCCATTGTTATATATATATACCACTTCTTCCTTACCCATTCATCTGTTGTTGGACATCTGGTTTCTTTCCATAGTTTGGCTATTGTGGACATTGCTGCTATAAACATTGGGGTGCATGTGCCCCTTCGGATCACTACATTTGTATCTTTGGGGTAAATACCCAGGAGTGCAGTTGTTGGGTTGTAGGGTAGCTCTATTTTCAACTTTTTGAAGAACCTCCATACTGTTTTCCAGAGTGGCTGCACCAACTTGCATTCCCACCAACAGTGTAGGAGGGTTCCCCTCTCTCCGCATCCTCGCCAACATCTGTCGTTTCCTGACTTGTTAATTTTAGCCATTCTGACTGGTGTGAAGTGGTATCTCATTGAGGTTTTGATTTGTATTTCCCTGATGCCGAGTGAGGTTGAGCACTTTTTCATGTGTCTCTTGGCCATCTGGATGTCTTCTTTGCAGAAATGTCTGTTCATGTCTTCTGCCCATTTCTTGATTGGATTCTTTGTTCTTTGGGTGTCGAGTTAGATAAGTTCTTTATAGATTTTGGATACTAGCCCTTTATCTGATATATCATTTGCAAATATCTTCTCCCATTCTGCCAGTTGTCTTTTGGCTTTGTTGACTGTTTCCTTTGCTGTGCAAAAGCTTTTTATCTTGATGAAGTCCCAAGAGTTCATTTTTGCCCTTGCTTCCCTTGCCTTTGGCGATGTTTCTAGGAAGAAGTTGCTGCAGCTGAGGTCGAAGAGGTTGCTGCCTGTGTTCTTCTCAAGGATTTTGATGGACTCCTGTCTCACATTTAGGTCTTTCATCCATTTTGAGTCTATTTTTGTGTGTGGTGTAAGGAAATGGTCCAGTTTCATTCTTCTGCATGTGGTTGTCCAATTTTCCCAACACCATTTGTTGAAGAGACTATCTTTTTTCCATTGGACATTCTTCCCTGCTTTGTTGAAGATTAGTTGACCATAGAGTTGAGGGTCCATTTCTGAGCTCTCTGTTCTGTTCCATTGATCTAAGTGTCTGTTTTTGTGCCAGTACCATACTGTCTTGATGATTACAGCTTTGTAATAGAGCTTGAAGTCCGGAATTGCTTTGCTTTTCTTTTTCAACATTCCTCTGGCTCTTCGGAGTCTTTTCTGGTTCCATACAAACTTTAGGATTATTTGTTCCATTTCTTTGAAAAAAGTGGATGATATTTTGATAGGGATTGCATTAAATATGTAGATTGCTCTAGGTAGCATAGACATTTTCACAATATTTGTTCTTCCAATCCATGAGCATGGAACGTTTTTTCATTTCTTTGTGTCTTCCTCAATTTCTTTCATGAGTATTTTATAGTTTTCTGAGTACAGATTCTTTGCCTCTTTGGTTAGATTAATCCTAGGTATCTTATGGCTTTGGGTGCAATTGTAAATGGGATCAACTCCTTAATTTTACTTTCTTCTGTCTTGTTGTTGGTGTATAGAAATGCCACTGAATTCTGTGCATTGATTTTATATCCTGCCACTTTACTGAATTCCTGTATGAGTTCTAGCAGTTTTGGGGTGGAGTCTTTTGGGTTTTCCAGATAAAGTATCATATCATCTGCAAAAGTGAGAGTTTCACTTCTTCTTTGCTGATTTGGATGCTTTTTATATCTTTTTGTTGTCTGATTGCTGAGGCTAGGACTTCTAGTACTATGTTGAATAGCAGTGGTGATAGCGGACATCCCTACCGTGTTCCTGATCTTAGGGGAAAAGCTCTCAGTTTTTCCCCATTGAGTATGATATTCGCTATGGGTTTTTCATAGATGGCTTTTATGATATTGAGTTATGTATCCTCTATCCGCACATTGTGAAGAGTTTTAATCAAGAAAGGATGCTGTACTTTGTCAAATGCTTTTTCTGCATTCTGTATATATTTCTATCATGTCATTTACTTTTAACTGTTTTATAATGATCTATTTATGTACTATTTGTGAGGTCTTTGAGGGAAGTGAACATTTCTTATTCACCTTTGTACTTCCTTTGCCTGGCAAACAAGCTGGCATATAATAGGTTCTCAGGAAATGTAGGATTAATAAATGAATGAGGCCTTTCTCTTTAGGCAGTTAGTTGCTACCTCCACTGGATTCCCATAGTACCAGTTCACAAAGAGGTACTACATTTTATTATCCTAGTTGTGTGTTCCTTTCTACACCATACCATTCTACAGAGGCTGCATGGTGGCTCTTTGAAAGTAGTGCCTATGACTTTTTCAACTTTATATTCTTAAAAGATAAAACATAGGTCTTGGTACACAGTAGATGTCAATTCAATTTTAGGAACTGAGCAAAACACAAACTCCCTCTGTCAAGCATGAATTATCCTGATTGGAAAACCTAACCCAACCAAAATATTTTCTTCTCATCTGGTAGAGCATGTGCCTACAGCCTGTGCTCGGGTTGATGCTCTGCGCTCCCATGGTTATCCAAAAGAGGCCCTCAGACTCACGGTGGCCATTATCAATACTCTGAGGTTGCAGCAGCAACGGCAGCTGGAAATCTACAAGCATCAGAAGAAAGGTATAGTGATAAGGAGCCATTTTGACTCCATAGGCTGGGGCTGATGAGGATCTTTAGGGGCTATAAGGTTTTCATTAAGTTTCATGGAGTGGCAGGGACTAGGGAATTTCAGGGTTTTCTGCCTGCTGTGTGGAATGCCTCACTTTACCTCTATGAATCTATGAATCTGCAAAATGGGAATAATAATGCTGGTCTGCCTCCCTCACAGGCAGTTGGAAGGCCCACTAAGATCTGGTATAAGAAGACCCTCTTTAAACTGTAAAACTATATTTACATATGTGTGCTATGAGCAAGAAGCCTAAATGCAGACCTCAAGACCTTATGGCCGATAAATTTGTGACCAGTCCTATGAATCCAAGGCAAGACAATGAGGGAAGATTTTTTTTAAGTTGCAGGGCCAATGCCTAAGAGAGACTAATGAGGAGACCCAGACAGGGACAGGGAGCAATGTGTGTCTCTATCACTTTCTAAAATTTGGATCTGTTTGTTCCCAGAACTGTTACAAAGAGGAACCACAACCATCACAAACCTGGAAGGCTGGGTGGGGCACCCTCTGGATCCCATTGGCTGCCTGTTTCTCACTTTGACTGAGGCCTGTCGTCTGAACGATGATGGCTATCTGGAAGTGTCAGGTACAGGGGTCAGCCTGCGGAGAGCTAGAACTGTCCTTGCTAGCCCTCCTTTCCCTCAAGACTCTGTTCTACATTTCCTGCAGCCTTTCTCTTCTTAACCAAGTTGGATGTGCCCTATGAGGTTTCCTTGGGCTTCATCTCTTTCCCACCTCCCACCAGTCCAGAATAGGACTGGCCCTATCCTATTCTCCCATTTTACCTTTCCAGCCTTCCTTTGTTCCTCTCACTTCCATACCATGAATGCCTAAAGAGTGTAATCCAAAGTGAGTAAGAAGAGCAATAGGGATTTCAAGAGGCAGAGGCCAAGTCTCAGAGCAGTCTGGAAGTGGAAAAGAACTTCTAAGAAGAAGAGTGTGTGTAACCCCTGCAACTGCATAATATTCTCATGTTTCCTTTGAACTTTCTTCCTCATGACGGTTATATTCCAAATTTACCAATGAGAACTAGGAGGGAAGAAACTTAGTAGTCTCAATGTAGCAATGACTAGAGACAGAATTTTATGCCATCACTCTATTGTATACATATATCTATTATAGTATTTAGCCCACTGCATTACAATTTGTTTACAAGTGATTATCTTACTAGACTTCGGTTGCTTGAGGCAGAAATTATGACTTACTTATCTTTGTGACCCCAGCACTTAGTGCAATACCTCTCATTTAACAGTTTTCCATAAATATTTAATCAGATGAGTGAAGGGGAAAGAAAAGAAACCAAGACTCTAACCCCCTATAAGACTTTAAACCTGTGCTCTTTTTCTGAAACTTGGAACCCAGACGTGGAACATATAAGGTAATAATAACAAAGAAGTTGCAAGTGTTACAAAAGTAATAGTTTAACTGGATGGATTTGGATTTCTCTGGGTAGAGATACAATGGGTGGCCCCAATCCAAGCTAGAGCTGCCCTTATCTTTCCTCTAATCCCCTGAAAAGAAATCATCATCTTTGGTCTGTTTCATCTGCACAGTGACACTTACATCTTGAAAACCTGAGATTGCACTTGGAATTCATTCACCAATGACATACACTTAGCTCCTTTCATATACCAGGCCCTGGAGATGCAGAGGGCAATAGATAAAGTCTCTTCCCTTTAGGGTGCTCACACTCTAGTGAAAGAGACAGACACAAAACCAGATAATCATGGTATTACATAATGTGTTAGCAAAAGATTAATATAAGATCTACTTCTTCCCCAAATGGTCTAGCCAGTTCACATATTGGGATGGAGTTGGGAATTTTTGTGGCTCTGCATAATCTTTTTTCAGTATATTTTCCTTACTGCTCTGGGGTTCTGACTCAGCTTCCCTGTGATATCTGCTGACCTAACTGTATTCCAAAGTGGGAGGGAGAGAGGAGCAGAAGAATCCACAGAGCTGACCTAAAGAATCTGGTCCCCTGTTGCCCTCAGATATGAATGAAAGCAGACCCCCTGTGTACCAGCATGTACCTGTGGCTACAGGCTGCCCAAACAGCCATGAGTCCTACCTGTCATTGGCCCTGGAAGTTGCTCTGATGGGGATGGGTCAACAGAGGGTGATGCCTGAAGGCCTCTACGCACAGGACAAGGTGTGCCGTAATGAGGAGCAGCTCCTGAGTCGACTTCAAGAGCTGCAGCTGGACGATGAGCTAGTGCAAACACTGCAGAAACAATGCATCTTACTACTGGAAGGTAAGTAGAGAAGGGCTTTTGTCACAGTGCCTTAGGCCTGTAACTCTGGGTTCCCCTCTCTAACAGAGCACTGTATAACATCATTTTTTACATTGAAGTGTAGTTCAAGTACCCATGGCTAGCAAACATGTGCAGGATCCTACAGCTCAAGTCCACGTTGGCAAATAGAAGCATGTGGATAAATAACTGGCTGTCCTATCTTCTTCCTGCAGGAGGCCCCTTCAGTGGTTTAGGAGAAGTCATTCACCGAGAGAGTGTTCCCATGCATACCTTTGCCAAGTATTTGTTCTCAGCTCTGCTGCCTCATGATCCAGACCTGTCCTATAAATTAGCCTTACGTGCTATGAGGTGGGTAGCCCTTTCCCCAGCCCAGTTGCCTCCATCAAAGCAGAAGTTTCCACTGCTCTTTCTTCTCTTTCCCGCTTTGTCTATTCTATTAGACCTAAAAATATTGGACCAAGCCTACCCTAAAATAGCTCAGGCATATTCATATTATCTAGGATTCCTATCTGGAATGCCTTGCTGGTGACCATTTGTCTCCCTGGTTGTACTCTTGGTGGGTCGCCTGAGGAAGCCCCTAAGTTTTTAATAGAAATGGAGCACCCAAGACCTGAGTATCTTTGTTCTGGGGCCCATTAGGCAGCCTGAGAATGGGTTTGAGCCCTTCTGTAGCTCAAATGAGTCATGGTTCCCAGGCATAGGTCACCAGATGTGTCTGGAAGAAATAAAAATAAGTCTTTCTATACCAGGACTTGAGAACAATGAGCTATGGGCATCTCATTTTCAAACTAGAATAGGATCCTTGGATTAGGCAGGTGTGGACCTCTAGGATGCAGCAGACCATATAGAAGAAGAATTTTAGTCAGATCAGAAACTCTTCACTTCAACCAGAAAAGGACTGCTGAGGATTCCTTGGCATGTGTTTCTTATACTTTAAAAAGTAATTTTAGGGCTTTTGAACTGCCTTTCAAATCTATTTGCCATAAGAAGTATTCAGCTTGAGTTCTACAAGTGCCCAGGCACTCACCTCACATACAGTATAGTATTCTAGGTTTTAAAACCTTTAAGGCTCAGGGTGCCTGGGTGGCTCAGTCAGTTAGGTGTCCAACTCTTGATCTCAGCTCAGATCTTGATCTCAGGGTCATGAGTTCAAGCCCTGCATGGGGCTCCATCCTGGGCATGGAGCCTACATTAAAAAAACAAACAGATAAACAACCTTTAAAAGCTCTTGTTAACCCTTTCCTGCCCAGTTCCTTCCCAGCAAAGAACAAACTTCTCTAAGGTAGCTCAGAATGTCAAGGGTCTGGATGGTGGCTGATAACTCTCCCTGGGTCTTCTAGGTTACCTGTTCTAGAAAACTCAACTTCTACAGGCGACAGTTCTCACCCTCACCATATGGTGTCTGTGGTGCCCAGTCGTTATCCTCGCTGGTTCACGCTTGGACACTTGGAATCACAGCAATGTGAACTGGCCTCAACCATGCTGACTGCTGCCAAAGGTGAGCATAGATAGACCTTAGGCTCCAGCACCCCCACTATGGTGGCCCAGTCATGGCCTTCCAAGGGCTTGGTCTGCAATCCTCTAAAGAAGAAAGGCTATTCTTGACTACTTAGAGTGATAGGGATCCTCACTTTGATTGCTGTCATTAGAATGAGCACCCAGGTCCAAGCCAGAGTTTTGCCTTTGTTACTAATTGTGGGATGCCGAGTACATAGAATGAAATCATCTTTAAGATAACTTCTAAATCTAACCTTCCATATGATATAATCACTTCATCTTTGCAGGCCTCAGGTTCAAAATCTATAAAATGGGATTCATTGTCAGTGATCCTATCAGCCTCTCCAGGGCCATTGGAAGATCCAGTGAAGTCATGACTAAGAGCTATAAATTGCTTTACAGATATGTGAGTTTGTGATATTTCCAGGGCTCCTTGTCAGAAAATAGGCAGCCCAGAGGGACTCTTACATTTTCAAGCACATATACCTCCCTGTTAGCTAGGTAGGTTCCACCACAGAAAGAAATGAAAATAAGCCCCTGAGAAGCTATAACAAAATACTAGGTTGCATGGGTTGTGACTATTTTTCTGATACCAGGAAACTATGGATATTTTAAGACTTTTTTGTATTAAAAATAACTGTATGTTGTATCTTACTGCCCAAAAAATACATGCTCATTATGGAAAAGGTAAAAGATACAGATAAATCAATATGAAAATGATCAATACACCAACACAACAGTTGAACAAAGCATACAAGTTCAAAGAAAAGAAGATACAAGTAACTTTTGAACAATTAAATACCTGGACTCCCTTGAGAAATACAAATTAAAATTACCCTGAGATAACATTTTTCACCAATCTTACAGGCAAAAATCAATAAATTTGATAATAGGCATCCATGTGGGGGTGGAGGTGGCAGTGGCATGGCATGGAGTATCAGATTCCAAGCAGGATAGGATGACTACAGATCCAGGATGTTCAGTTAACCTCAAGCACTAGAAACACAAAACTATACTAAGGCGCATCATAATCAAATTGTTTAAAACCAGTATTAAAAGAGAAAATCTTAGGGGCACCTGGGTGGCTCAGTTGTTAAGCATCTGCCTTTGGCTCAGGTCATGATCCCAGGGTTCTGGGATCGAGCCCCACATCGGGCTCCCTGCTCAGCGGGAAGCCTGCTTCTCCCTTTCCCACTCCCCCTGCTTGTGTTCCCTCTCACTGTGTCTCTCTCTGTCAAATAAATAAATAAAATCTTAAAAAAAAGAGAGAGAGAGAAAATCATACTTAAAAGTAACTAGAGAAAAAAGACATATTATGTACAAAAAACCAAAAGATTAAATATGAGAGGTTTCTCACTAGAAACAGTATAAACCAGAAAAAAGTGGAGAAAATTCATTAAAGTACTTGTAAAAAACTGTCAACCTAGAATTCTGTATCATTGAAGATATCTTTCAAAAACAAAGTGAAATAAGTTTTTTCAGACAACCTCAATTGAATTAGAAATCAACAATAAAAAGATACCTATGGAAGATCCACCAAATTTGGGGGAATTAAACCACACACTTCCATATAACTCACTGGACAAAGGGAAGAAACCCAAGAAGATTAGAAAATGTTGAAACTGAAGGAAAATGAAAGAAAAACATTTCAAAGTTTTGGGGAATACAGCTAAAGCTTTACTTAGAAGGAAATTTTTAGCACTAAATGCCTGTATCTGAAAAGAAGAAAGGCTTCAACTCCGTGATCTCAGCTTCCACCTTAACCAGAAACCAGAAAAAGAAGATCAAATGAAATTCAAAGTAAGCAGATGAAAGGAAATTAAATAAAGATCAGAGCATAAAGCAATAAATAGAATGTAGAAAAACAGTAGATTTAAATCAATGAAACCACTGTTTGAAAGAAAAATAAAATTGAAATCTCTGTCCAGACTGATCAAGAAAAAAAGAGAGAAGACAAAAATCCCACCAATCCCAAGAATGAGAAAGGTGACATCACAACAAATTCTAAAGACATAAAAATGATAAAGGAATATTGTGAACAATTTTATGTCAATAAATTAAACAACATAAATGAAGTAGACTAATTCCTTGAAAGATAGAAACTACCAAAGCTCATTCAAGAATAAATAAAGATGAACTAGGTATATACCCAAAAGAATTAAAAACTTGGACTCAGACAGATACTTATACACCAATGTTCATAGCAGCATTATTCACAGTAGCAAAAAGTTGGAAATGTGTCTATCAACAGATGAACAGATAAACAAAATGTGATCTATGCATTCAAAGGAATATTAATTTAGCAATACAAAGGAATGAAATTCTGATACATGCTACAACATAGATGAGCCTTAAAAACATGCTAAGTGAAATAAAACACACACAAAAGGAGAAATATTTATGTTTCTGCTTAATTGAAGTACCTAGACTTGCCACAGCAAGGAAACATCAGGGGATACTAAACTAGTGGGCAAACATTTTATTAGGAAGGGAATATTTATGTAGTCTCAAAGTATCTGTCCACAAAGCACTTACCAATCATAAAGGAAAAAAGTGCAAGTCTGCTATAGAGCAACCTGGCAGACGTCACTTGAGTAAAGTGGCCACAGTTAATATTAAATTTGAAGAGGCAGAAAGCAAAATGGAGGAGAAATTCATAGAGACAAAGTAGAATACAGAGCCTGGGGTAGCTAGTTATTATTTAATGAGTATAAAGTTTCTATTTGGGATGATGAAAAGTTCTGGAAATGTATAGTGGCCATAGTTGCACAACATTGTGAATGGACTTAATGTCATTAAATTGTAGCCTTAAATCCTTAAATGGTTAGAATGGTGAATTTTATGTTATGTATATTTTATCACAATAAAAATAATAAATAGAAATGAACATTAAAAAATTGAATTTATAGTTAAAAACCTTTCCACAAAAAAAATCCAGGTCTAGATGGCTTCACTGGTAACTTCTACCAAATATTTAAGGAAAACATAACAATTCTTTTTTTTTTTTTTAAGACTTTATTTATTTGACAGAGAGAGAGCACAAGCAGGGGGAGCGGCAGGCAGAGGGAGAAGCAGGCTTCCTGCCTAGGATCATGACCTGAGCCGAAGGCATACACTTAACTGACTGAGCCACCCAGGCACCCCAAAAACATAACAATTCTGTGCAAACTCTTTCAGAAAATTGAAGAGGAGAAAATATTTCCCAGCTCAATCTATGAAGCCAGCATTACTCTTGATACCAAAACCAGTCAAAAATCATAAGAAAACTACAGACTAATATCCTTACGAGCACAGGTGCAAAAATTCTTAATAGAAGTGTTAACAGATTGGATCCAATAATATATTTTAAAAAGATGAAACATCACGACAAAGTAGGATTTATCCCAGGAATGTAAGATTAGTTTAACATTCAAAAATCAATCACCATACTAATAGAATAAAAAACAAAACCCATGC